GAAGTATATTATTATAGTAGTTACTTCTAGCAATGTTGTAAACCGTCAGTGAGGACCGTTTACTGACAAATACAAAATTTGCAGTTATACAAAAAAACTACACCTGTACTATTTTTTTACAACCAGTTACTATGTAGGTATATGCAAAATAGTAAAAAGGAAATTGTATCCGTATGAGAATAGTATGTATCAACACCGATTGATTGTTATTTTGACGTTTAGGTTGGTAGAACTGGTAATTTGATATTCAAAATTTGAACTTTTATATAAATACGCGTTTAGATCCTAAATTCGGAAATAATGGCCCAAGAATTGAGTTGTACCCCCCCCCCCCCCCCCGGAATTGCAGCACCAGAATTGCACGAAGTAGCCCAAAATACAACTGAAAATTTATTACCTAACAAATCATGTGTGAAAAGGAATTTTCAAAGTTTCAAGAGTGGTGCGCACAAAACAATGCATTCAACATTTCGGAGAATGTACTAATCACTTATTTCGAAATGTTGAGAAAAAAGAAAAGTTCTCCGTCATTATGGTCAACATACTCCATGATAAAATCATGCTTAAACATTAAAAAGGATGTCGGTATTAGTAAATATGCAAAATTGGAAGCGTTCGTAAAGAGACTGTCCGAAGGCTATGTACCAAAAAAATCAAGAATGATTGAAAATAATGACATTAACCAATTTATTGAACGAGCTGATGATAAAACTTATCTAGCGATTAAAGTAAGTTCATTCATTGATCAATTTTCATTACAATAAGAATAACTACTCTGTACTTAGTCACGTCGCCTTATTTACTTTACTTAGAAAAAGATCAAAATGAAATGTCTTTTGGATTCTTGCGATAAATTTCCTCGTTTGCTTATAGGTTGTTCTGATAATGGGGTATAATAGAGCATGCAGGAGGTAAGAGTTAGCAAATATGTCTATTGACGACGTTGAATATAAAGACGACTTCATTGCAATCACGGTCCCTAAAACAAAAACGAACCTCATGACTCATGAGACAATTTATTGTCTCTGATAAAACATGGATTACCTTAATAAAAAAAGTATGCAAGTCTACGTCCATCCACAGTAACTCATCGACGACTCTCACTTTTCGTAATGGATATTGCATTAATGCACCAATTGGCATTAATACCATTGATAAAATGCCTAGAATTATTGCAGACTTTTTGCAATTGCCCAATCCCGAGTTATACACTGGACATTGTTTCCGACGTTCCAGCGTAACTCAAGTGGCGAACAGTGGTGGAGATATGACCACTATTAAGCGTCATGTCGCAGAAGGCTATATAGACACAGCTGAAAGTCGAAGACTTGCAGTGGCTGAAATGCTTTCTGTGCCATCCAAGTACCACATCCTCAAACGCCTATGCGAGCCATAGAGAAGAAAACATACAACAAAATATTATAGGTCAAAACTTACCTGAAATTAAAATAAATGCTAAGGATTTTTCGAATGTAACCATAAGGGTATACAACAATTGTAACTTTACATTTAATAAATAAGTATCAAATGACTAAATGCTACAAGAAAATTACTTTTTCTACAGAGCCTATAGCATTTTTGCCCAAAATAATTTTTTCTCAGCTTAAACCCTGGATTATAGAATATAGATATGTACTGCAGGTTAGTAGGTACCAATTCTGAATTTATTAGTAATAAATAGGAATAAATTAAGGTTAAGATAAGTGAATTGAACAGTTACAAAAGTGTAAATAAGGGACTTCACCTTACTTATTTCTACAAGTCCATATTATATACACGGCATTTCATTAATGTGTACGAAGTAACGTGTTCGAAGTTGCTATCAAGGGTATTATAAATTCTGAGAGGAACTGTGTATCTAGAATACGATTGTATTGCTTCATTTCAATTTCATTTGCCTAATTAAAAGATTGTGTGCTTTTGCCTCAGCTTTTGCTTCAGTGTTTGGAATATCGGTGTTTGCGGATACACAAATGCACTGTTCACTTGCATAATTTCTAAACTGCTTCTTTAATATATTGTCATATTATAAGTTGGTAGATGTTAGAGCTTAGGTTATGTTAAGAACTTGTCTACAGTGACCACAGAAATGTTTTTAGTTCAGTGACAGTGACAGTTATAAAATGTTGTCAATGTTACCAATCCGATAACATTCCAGTTTGCCTTTGCATGTCGTAATGAGTCAGTTTTCGATACCCAAATGTCGTCACTCGCGTATCGTAATAGAAGCATTATGAACGCAAAATAGAAAAAATAATTTTTATTCCAGCACTTCCGTAAATAATCAAAAGCATTAAATAGTAATATCAAGAAAGCGTTATTATTTTTTTGAATAATTTAATAAATTAAGACCAGGATGTACTTTTGTTATGTGAACGTTGATATTATACTTCCGGTGGGACCTGTAACTGCAGTAAAGGCAACTATGTCTAGGTTGTATGCCACACTCCTTAAAATGTCCGACTAGATGGTTTCTGTTTTTATACCTTTTGCCACATAAGTTGCAGCAATACGGATTTTTTTCATTAAAACGCCTTCTTTGAGTCCGATATAAATCCCTTTCAGCTGAAAAGATACATTTTAGTAAAACTTAGCAAATTTTTCTCTAACAAAAAATTACGTAGTACCAGCAAAACAAAACAGATCAGTACAGTCAAGCCAAGCAAACAAGTCCGTCACGAAGGCGATGGTTTGGTGTCGCTGTATTTTAGAAGTACAGTCTGTGGCAATAGTGTTTGGCGGTAAATTTAAGCTTGTTATATTTTGCTTTTTTTATGTGGCTACGTTTGGAAACTGGAGAAAGAAATTTAGTACAAGAATTACAAACCAAAATAACAAAATACTTATTACTAATGACTTAGCAGTGTGTATTTAAAAGTAATTAAACAGTATCCTCTTCACTGATTGCAGAACCTTCGTCTGATGTACCAGTGTTTACGTGAAATATAAACTTTCTACAGCTCCATCTAACAATCCTTGACGTTTCCACATTTCTTCTTCCAATCTATTAACGTGGTTTATGTCGCCTCCCGACTTACTTTTCGATTTGATGATGAGATGTGCATTTTCAATTCATTCCAATTCATTTCCTCCTGTCAGTTTTATATACACCAATTTCATCTTCTGCGAGCAAGCACTCCACATAATGGATAGATGGAGGTTTTGTCTAAAAATGTGATCGGTTTCTTGTTTTTCCCTAAAGCATCGTTTTCTTTAATTCTTCGTTCCATTAATAATTTTCGCTTATTGTGACATTTTTTTGTATTTATAGCCGCTTCTTAATGTAACTTTACCTCCACTGTAGCCATTTTTCTCCTTCATTTTATTAACTAAATTATTGATCTTCGGGACTATTTTATGGGTTATGTAAATTTCATTCTTCAAGACACCTAAATCAGAATTACCTATCCAATGTTATTTTTTAGAAAGTCGTACTTCGTCGCTTCTTTGAAGGAAATTTCCATGCCCTATCATCGGCAAGTTTACCTTCGATCTAAGGCACGAACTTATAAATTAAGATGGACTGCTGATCAAACAGTTGCATAGAGGTAGAAATCGCCCTAACATGGGCGCGGCCATGATGTGCACGTTTTAGTTATTTTCTAGGGGAATTTTCCTAGTGCTCAAGTTTTAAGACTATTGCAGCCTTCGAAAATGACATGTGTCACAGTAATTTATTTAGAAAACGTGAGGTTAATGCTTGTTTATTGGTTGATTTGAATTTCGTGCCAAGTGAGTGCACATCATGGCTGCCCACATGTAGGTGTCATTTGTCAATTCAGCATTAGCAGTCCATCTTAATTTCTAAGTTCGTGTCTACAGGATAACAATAAGTATCTATTTATTTCAGAGGAATATTAATGAAATGCACATTACCTAATCTTGCTTATGAATTTTGTTGATTTGCCGTCGCAGGGACAGCTAGCTCTGTACCCTTTACCAAAGGAATTATCTACACACCGGCAGCTTTCTCTTTGTCGAAGAATTCAACGGCCCTTTTAATAACATTTCTGACTTCGGAATGCACAGGTTTGTTTCTCTTTTCTTGCCGTAAGGATAAAATTTGTGCAACAAGCGGATTTTAAAAAAATGTAATCTATAAGTATGTCACTGTCACATTTTTTACGGACTGTACACGCCTGCGTTCACGGTATTGGCTTAACGTTTTCCCATCACGAATTTTTTTAAATAGTTCGCCTATTTTCCGAGAGACTTGTTTGCTTGGCGGAGCTGTAAGTACAGCAGCATGAATATGAGCGTACCCATTTGCTCTTTGTATATGCTATTACTTTTACGTTTGACCGTTAATCGCCAAAATATGTAATACAATATATAAGGTTTTTTTATACCATACGATACGAGTGGATCCCAAAATTGACACATAATCAACGCCGAAACCAAGTCAACATGCTATTGCGTGGTAAATCCATCAGACCGAACTTATTGAAAATTTACTACTTTGGAAAACATTTTCCATCATCTGGAGGTGAATTTTTGACACTTCCACAGATTTCTATTTGCCATCTTTATATAAAAACATTACCCGAATGCTCAGAGCCGTCTGCTATTCTTACTTAGTCAGCAGGTAAAGTCCCTAGATTACTAAAGTAACGCGAATAGCAGCCATTTTGGCTCAGTTTGGGAACCGCGAAATTTGAAATTGAACAACAGTTGGAAAGTATGTATTTTGTAGTCGCTCTTGGATAGAGCAAGTTTTGTGAGGGTAGCGTTTAATAGCCTTTAGCGTCACAAGAAAAATATAGTTGCATCGCTTTTTCAATCGTTTTACCACTCCACATAAAACCCTTGTGTGTACCCCAGAGTGTACCCAATTCTGAATATTGTAATTTTATTATTATTATTATGGTCGGTGTATCTTGTGAGAACTCAGGTCTAGCCTGGTTAACTAATCGCACGGATTAAAATCAAGTAACGATTAGTGTCTGTGTCTGTGTCTGGTGAAGTTATGTAGGGTCCTAAAAAAAAATAAAAGAAATAAATAAATAAAATAAAATATAATATCGGTTACGAACGTACAATTAGTTAACAATTAATCTTTTCTAATTCTTGTTATCAAGACGATTCTTAAATTGGTATCTTCATAAAAAGTTTCCGAAAAATTGTCTTCACTTCTGAGTAGGTAATTTTTTTTTTCGGTTTCTGTTTTCTTGCAAAAGTGCCTAGATGTACTTCTCTAGTGAATTAATGGTTCATCAGTACTTTCTTTAATGTACACACAACTATTATAATACAAAACAACAAATGTCAAACCTGACACTAGGTGTCAAACGGCCATTTTGGCTCAATTAGCAGCTTGTTTTTGTCTAATACACTGGCCTAATCAATCGCGTTGCTTTAATAATCTAGGGACTTTAGTCAGCAGGTAGATACGAGCGCCAATTTTGTTAGATGGAACAGTTTCATTCAAAAGAACCCACAAATCGTTTATTCCTAGGATAAGCTTAAGAATTTCAACATTATTTTATTACATAAAGAACAATACAAAGAATGACGACTACAAATTGTAAGATTTATGAACAGTGGCCGTGTGTCTCTGTAAATGATACTTCCTAGAACACGTATAAGTGCAACTTGGATACAAACACTTAAATCCTTGTGGTCCACAATCGTACCGTACGTGCAAGTAATATGAAACTCTTTTTGTGTACGCTTTAGGACATTTAGGACAATGCCAGATTTGACTATCGACACCAGCACCTGCAAAAAGTCAAGTTAACTCATTTTTATTAATTTTATTCTTGGTTGGTGATAAACATAAATGATTAAAAATATGTTCGAAATACATATAGAGGGCAAGTTTACTTACTTGGTTCAACTGTTATATTCCAATCGTTATTAACTGCTGTCATAAGCTTGGTACTTTCCACATATGCCTCTTTATAGCATATTAACAGAAATAAACATATTATTATTATATGATGTTCAATTAAGTGGCAGTGGTAAAAGACTATTTTTTCGCACAGGCAAAAATAGAGTTTGTTATCGTGCTAAAAATCACCGCGTTAGTATAACACGGTCGTGGATGGCGCCCAGATGTCGCCGACCTCACATCATGGAGCCCCGTCCCTAAAGTTGTTAATTACACGGCCCCAGTAGGTACATGTTCACTCCTCGTCTTTCTTCAAGCGTTCTTCTACGGGCCCTCATTTGCTAGCCCGCCAGCCATGAGCCAGTCAATCGGTCAAACTGAGATGGAAAGCTACATTATTACAAGTAAATTTGCAAATATGCGCTAAAAATGTACATTAATTATGTGGTGTGAGCTTTTTGATACGTCGCATCATTTCAGATTTTCGCTCAAATCTAGCTAATCTTATATAACGCGACGTGCGGGGCTAGGAAGGTTTCGCTAAGGTTAATTTATTAATGCTAGTAACACATTTTTATTCGTAGTATTGGTGACTAGAAATGACATTTAAAAAGATTACGAATGGCCATACGCCCCACAGATATGCAAAAATTTTAAATCTTCAGGAAGTATAAATTATAAGTAATCAATAAAACAAAAAAATGATTTTTTCTACAAAGCAAAGAGCAAAATAGTGAACTTTCTTTTAGAAAATAAAGTAAAGAGGATATATGTTATTCTATGCACAGATTATCAAATAAATATAATTCAAAATAAGTTGTGTATGACTAATCGGCTGTACAAATAATAGTAATGTCATAAAACGTTTGAAGATAAAACGTGTCAACTTTGACAGGAGCGATCGTTCTCCAAACATCATACCATTGTACTCGTATATGGTAGATCAATTCCTCTCTAGCTCTAGCACTTAGAGATCTACATCTATACAACCGAGCACGAGTAGTTGCGTCAGTAAAATTTGGATGATTTATCGTCCAACCTTACTTTTAAGTAATAGTTGGCGACGATCTGTTTCCGGCGAAGGGGCGAATATTTGCCTCGAAGTAGAGCGCTGCTACAAGACTTGTTGGATATGCCTCCGGAAAATATCGAATAGCCAGGTTCTGGATCTTGTCAAGCTCCCCCAGCAAAGTATTATTGCTACGTGGTACTCAATTTTCTAAAACATGCTCTTTATATCAAAGAAAACACCAACCAGACGTTCGCCACTGTCAAATACCCTCAGAATTCGACCGGTTAATTTGACCAAATGACCGTTACCCGTTCTGTCCGAAAACATGTTTGATACGTGTTTTCATGAAATGTTTGCAACCGCACATTAACCATTTTCTCGAGCAGTTTGCCCAATATTATTATGGTCGGTGTTTCTTGTGAGAACTCAGGTCTAGCCTGGTTAACTAATCGCACGGATTAAAATCAAGTAACGATTAGTGTCTGTGTCTGTGTCTGGTGAAGTTATGTAGGGTTCTATATAAAAAAAAAATCACACACGTACATTTAAATCTAGGGATAGTATGTAATTCATACTTACCAACATACCTATTGATGGGCACAATAGCCAACGCTATCAGGAAAGAGGAAAACAAAACAAAACAAAATCATTATAATAATTCCTGTAATTTTATTAAATGGAGTTTATTGTGTAAGTGTTTCTTTGGCTTTGCGTTTGGGTTGAATACGAGTGGGTTGTGATAACGTGGTGTGCTTCGGTGAAGAAGGAGTTTTGTGTTTTTTAACTGTGCTAGGACGTGTAACTTTATTGGGTGGACCTGTCTTTGTGGTACATGTTGCCTTACTTGTATTTATGGTGTTTCTTTGTTCTTGAGGTTGTATTTGTGTTATTGCTTGGGTTATTGGTGGAGGTATTACAGTATTTTGTGAGCTAGTAGTGCTGTTTAGGTTTTTGCGTTTGGGTTGTATACGAGTGGGTTGTGATAACGTGGTGTGTTTCTGTGAAGAATGAGTTTTATGTTTTTTAACTGTGCTAGGGCGTGTAACTTTATTGGGTGGACCTGTCTTTGTAGTGCATGTTGCGTTACTTGTATTTATTGTGTTTCTTTGTTCTTGAGGTTGTATTTGTGTGGTTGCTTGGATTATTGGTGGAGACGTTACAGTATTTTGTGAGCCTGTAGTGCTGTTAAGATTGTTGCGTTTGGGTTGAGTACGAATGGTTTGTGATAACGTGGTGTGTTTCTGAGAAGAAAGAGTATTATAATTATTATTACTGTCGGCCTTTCTTGCCAGAACTCAGATCTCGCCTGGTTAACTAATCGCACGGATTAAAATCAAGTACCGATTAGTGTCTGTCTGCATGTCGTTCGTCTGGTCAAGTATTGCTGTTCGTATTTTTTTAATTTTATATGCTCGTACTTAAGCATTTCCTACAAGCTTATTAATTTGATTAAGTAGCGTTGTTTATTCTGTAAGTGCGAGTTTGGCTTTGCGTTTGAGTTGAATACGAGTGGGTTGTCATGACGTTGTGTGTTTTTTAGAGGAGTTTGGCTTTTTAGCTGTGCTAGGACGTGTAACTTTATTATGGGTGAATCTGTCATTGTAGTGTATTTTGCGTTACTTGTATTTATTGTGTTTGTTTGTTTAGTAAATGACATATTACAGTATGTTGTGTGTCATATTGTGAGTCAGTTTACGTCAGGCTCGTAGCCAGGGGGTGGCCCCACCTAAAGTGTGGTCTTGCTCCCACTGTAAATTACGGTTGATGGTTCATTTACAAATATTGCAGGGGAACTTTTTATCAAAAACTTCTTAAAACCCACCTAGGAAAATACCGGCCCCCCTGCTACTTCATTCTGGCTACGGGCCTGGTTTACGTGTGTATAATGTCGATCATGTGTGTATGTAGTATCCGGTGTTATGTTTAGGAATTTTCAAGTTATAAGGCGTGTGTTGATAACTGCTTTTTGTAAATGCTTGTAACGGGCGATCAAAAATGAGTTGCTGAGTTCAAGTTAAATACGATTTCCCATGTAAACAAAAGTTTCAAAGGTCACTCGACAGCAACTCATTTTTGATCGCACAGTATATGTTTTTATCTAAGCCTAAAATTCGTAAACTGCGTTGTAAGGTTTTTGGTATAACTCCGGTAGCACTAAGAATAATGGAAAGTATAACAGTAAATTTCATTATGTACCAATAAAAATTGATCGTAATTAATAATCGATTAAAATGTAACATCTAAGTTTTTTTCCTGTGGGAATTTTCACAATTTGGTGTAAGAGTAAAACGGCACATACTACAAATTAGTATGACTTTTGGCCCTGTCAAAAACTTTTTGTTTATTAAATATTTGCTTTGAACTAGGAAAATGCTTTGTCAATTTGGCAACTGCTTTTCAATATAAAAAATCTTTCCCAAAATAAATTGACACACTGCTACAACTTGAGATGGTATTATACAAACACTTTTAGGTGATCCAAAAGACCCAGTAGGCATGAACGACCTCGTGAAGGACAAACCGAGAATATACAAAATATCTTCTAAACATTGTAATCAATTGGGTCATTGAAAAATCGTTTTAAAGAGCGTCTCCGCACATATTCCGCAAAGTCATATAGTGGACGATATTTGTCTGGTTAAGCAAGCAAGTAGCAAAAGTGACTTAGATTTTTATTAAACTTTAGAAAGAATCGCTTCCTTAATAAACCCCTAAAGCGGATCTAAAAAAGCGGCAAAGCACCACGGTTTGATCCTACGAAGTCATTGGGTTTGACCCATTTGAATAGGCTTCTGACATGTGGCATGTAGGTCAACTGTGCAAAGTTTAAACCGAATCGGTCTAAGCGTTTGGCAGATATCGCGTTCACGGACGGACAGACGAACACCATCGACTCCCCTATAAAACTTACATCGCTTTGCTCTGCCGCTTAATAATCGTGAGGGAGGTTCGTTAGGCCAATCAGAGCAGGTAAACTTTCACTATCACTTCTAATTAGTGTAATTGGGTCGTATTTGTATGTTATTCTTCATTTCGCTGATTATGCTGTTGAAACGTGTTCGATATTTTAATATACCCTTGTGGTTCATTGGTGCTTTTGTTTTACTGTTTGTAATTAAAAAAATTTGCGAACGTTAGTGGCCCTATATGTTTATTCTAGAAAGAGAAAACAACCGCCAACTACTACCAGAACAAATTGAACGATTAGTAACGCAAAGGTTATAAAAGAATAACGAATACTTACATAGGTACTTCGAAACAAGTACCCCGATCAGTAAATGATCGTAATGTTAGTTGTGTCGAATATACTCGTATATTGATTGGGGAAAGAGGTATATGTTGGCAGTGATTACTTGTTATGAATATAACAACGTGCGTTTCTGGGGCTATTGTAGACCTCCACATCAATTATTCATAAGCCTTTAATGTTTATCTAATTCTGTAATATAAAAATAGAGCCCCTTTCAAGCGGCGTGTACGCCCAACTTCCTATTTATTGAGCAGCTGTGTCTTATGTAGAACAAAAATCTCTATCGCTATAACCCTAAAACAATATAACATAACACAATCAAAAATAACGTATGAAATATACTTATCAGCTACACGTCTAATCTAACATGTTATGTCTAATGGCCGCATGTGAGCGTAAGCTAGATTTACGTTTAAATTTTCTTTGGCATAATTTACATTCAAACTGAGGATCCACTCCACATTCGAACCTTGTATGCAATGACAAAGAGCCTTTATGTTTGTATGACGTTCCACATTTTGAACATATGAAGCGATTGTCTTTCCTTTCCGCTATTCCCAAACCTGTAAAGACGGTAGTAAGATTTATTTTCCGACAAAGGTAAATAATAAATAATAACTAGCTATCACATGAATCAATATGGAAACCATACACGACTCATTGATATCATTGAAGATATCGTCATGTGGTTTTCACAGAGAGTGACAAACTTCGCTATAGTTTTTAGATATGAACCGGCAGGGCCGGATTAACGTTTCAGTAGGCCAGGAGCTAAACATATTAGAGGGGCCCTATTCCTATACAAAATAGGTTATAATTTCAACAAACGCCAAATTTAACGATATTAATTTTTATTGTCGAAAATTTATGCTGTGCAAAGTGCAATGCGTAATCCAATCCAACTTACTTTTAAAATATTAAGAATGTGTTTCTCTACAGTCCAGTCTAAGGGCATTCGCATTAATTTCGGGACTGCTGTTTAAGAGGAATTTATGTCGCACTTAACAATACATACCCTGATACATACTTATATATACTGATACTAAAGTACAGGTTAAGCTTATCGGATACGAATACCTACAGATTTTTCAGAATCACAAAACAGACATTAATATATTATGACATACTAGGAAACCGCTTTAAAAAAAGGGGAGACAAAATCTGTATACAGGGTGGTGACTTGCGTAACGCATCATAGGGATTTCAATGTAAAATTCATAACATGCGATTATTGGCTCCCCAAATTATTTTAGAGTAAAAATGTATTAAGGTTGTTTGTAGGAAAAAAATTTTTACGTCAATCAACCCTATTAGTTTTCAATTTTTTGCATAATAAAGACGGAAAATTGGAAAATAAAACCCCCATCTTTTTCAATA